GCCTTCGGGCCCTGCACCACCTTCCCAGCTCTCCTGCCCTGTCAAGTCTCTCCCTACCCCTGTCTCTGTGATGTATTGCTGTTACTGTGCTCCAAACCAGTGGGGTAGGATCTCTGTGTTGGTTATATTTCTGTCACAGATGTGCTGGCCTTGCCGTTCATCAAATCCCAAAGTCAGCTAAACTCGCTCGGCTAGAACAGAGCACTGTTGTTAGCAGATGCATATTCATCAGCCCAACGGTTCTTTTAATTTTCTTCCTTTCCTGCTTAGCTTCATTTTTGCTTATGAATTGTATTACACTTGCTCCCATTTGCAGGAGATGTATTGCCTCTGTCAGCCTCTGAGTAACAGCCAAACTGCCCCAAAGTGTCCACGGGGCCAATAGATCTGATGGCAGCAATAAAATAGACCAGTGAGTACCATCAGCCTGCAATCCTGCAGGAGCGAGCAGCCAAACAGCACTTTGTGAGGTGGTTGACCTGAAAAACTGGAAGTGCTGCTTTAGGCTTCAAGAAGTTTGTTTTCTGGCCTCAGTGGAAGGAAGGATGCTCTCTGAGTTTCCCAGGAGTGATCTGGCCCTGAGACCTTGTTCTTGTTTGTTTGAACTCGGCCTCAGAGCAGCCAGTGTTGTGCTAAAATCTGAAACAATGTGAGGTAAAATCTGAAAAAGTAGAGTCAGATTTTATGCCAAGATTCTCAAGTCTTGCAAGAAATAGGACAGTCTCAGAAAACCAGGACTCAGTTTATGGTGGGCACTGCCTGACAGCCAGCACAAACCCTGAGGTGCCTGTCCCTGGTAATTTGGCTGTGCACAGCCCTCGTAAGCCTGATGACAGAACTACAGTGAAATGTGGCATCAGTTTGCACCCTCAGCATCGCTGCTCCTGTCCTGTTGCATTCAAATACCTCCTCCCTGGTTTTCTGTCTGGCACCTGAGTCTCTAAAGAGCAAATGGAGACTTCCCTCTGGAGTGATGTGGGTGGCCATTCTGAAATTGCAGCTCATTCCACTCCCACTTGTTGCTGAACTCCCCTCCCTTTTACTCCCAGCCTTGTGTTTTGGTTTTAAGGCTCAGGATGTGCTTTCCCCCCCCTGCTTTATGCCCCTCTAGAAGATGAAAAACCTCGAGCATCATCACTGCTCTTGACATTTCGTTAATGCCTTTTCCCAGCACACCAGCAGGGATTGTTTGTGTAGCTGATGGTGCTGGTAAAGCCTGGCAAGGCACCGTTTGCTGTGCAGGAACCAAACGAGGGCAAGGGCTGGCTGCAGCTCTCGGGGCAGAGCCACAGAAGGACCAAACGGTGCCCCTGGGCGGCTCAGCCCTCGCAGCAGCTTTAAGAAGTGCAGAACACCGGGGAGCTGAGGTGAGTGCTCAGTTCCAGCTGCTGGGCTCGAAGCAAAGGCCAGCAGCTGCCTGGTGCATCCCCCCCTCCCCGGGGAGGCTCTGCCCAGGGTGAGAGCGCTGCACTCAGGCTGGTAAACACACAGCGGGCAGCTGGGTGATGAGCACTGGTGGGTTATTAGGCTCTAATTAGCCAAGCCAGGGAAGTCAATCACCCGAGTGTTTCTTTTCAGTGCTCTGCTGGGGCAAACTCCAGGTGTCAGAGCAGAGCTGGTGTTCTGAGCACCCCACATGCTTTTATTCCTGCAAATCCCAGGTTAATCTCTGGGTGCTGGTGAGTCTGTGCAGCACCCCGATGGGGCCTAGGGGTCTGATGTCTCATATGCTGTCTGTGGGTTGCCAGCTGATGTTCCTGAAGTGTGTTGTCATACAGTGAGGCTTCACCTTCATCCAGTTGCTTGCTGGGTAGAAACACCTGATCTGGCAAGTGTGTTTGCCCTGGTGTGTTTGCATCGGAGTGAATTAATTCTCTCAGACTTTCCTTTTCTTCTTATTGGTTTGTGGACATTTGAAACAGTTTTTTTTTCTCCCTGTTGTCCCCTCTGTTCTGTTGACTCCAAGCAGGCTGTGCATTAGAAAATTGTTTGCAGCTGCAGCCCAATAACTTACCATGTCACAACTCTTTAATTTTTTGGGGGAGCTGTCCTTTGAGTTTTAAATGCCAAGTCAATAGGCAATATTATAGTTATTTAACATTTATGCTGCAGGAGAGCTGGAGGCTGCAGTCAGTTCAAGACTCTTCTGGACAGACTAGTGAGGATGTGCAGCCACAGGCAGAATCAAAGCCTTATTCTGTTGATAGAGAAAATAACTCTGGTCTTTTTCTCTCCTTCTGTAAGCTAAATTTGTCATTCCTTGTGGAGTGTTATTACACTTGTCAGAGGTGCATGTATTTATGTCAACAAATGCATCAAGAAACAGTTGTAATGCTGGGGTTTGAGGGGCTGTAAGTGGTGCCTTTGTTTAAACCAGTTACAAGACGTTGAGATCCTCCAAAACTGCATGACAAGGCTTCCTGAGACTGAGCATCAGTGCCAGGACTCTTTGGGAGAGAAGCAGAGAGAGAAGACCCTGAGGAAGCAGCAGAGTTGCAGACACACTGGTAGCCTGGCCCAGGCTTAAATCCCTGGGCAAGAGCATGACAAGAAGAACTTGCTGGTTGAGATTGTTGTGGAGCTGTAAGCAAATCCCATCTCTTCTTGTGGGAGCCTGTGCTCAGGGAACCAGGAATGTATGCACCTTGCAGAGAGGGATGGCTCTGGATCACTGATTCCAGAACAATCCAAGCAGTGTAGGGATAAGCTTTCATGCCGTGACTTTGCCAGCATTTCCTCAAAGGCCAAAGAGCTACAGAGCAGAACAGCTTTAATAAACGAGCATCAGACCACTAACCCCCAGGATGGGTCCTTTTTATGTGGATCCATCATCAGGCAGTAGGAGCTGAGTTAGAAATGTGCTCCCTGATCCTGGATCACCTCCCACCGCCCAGACAACACCAGACTGGAGGTGGCTGAGCCCTGCTGAGCCCGGGGTGTCTGCAGAAGGAACACCCCTGGACAGCAGCTGCGTGGGAATTGTCACCCTGTGGCTCTCGGTCCGTGGTGCCAGCGGGTGGTGTTGCACTGGGCTCTCTGTGCTCAGCAGGGAGAGCATCCTTCCTGGAAACCAGTCTGAGCAGGCTGCTGGACAAGCTTTGTGCTCGTCCTGTCAGGTCCTTCTCTGAGCACAGTTACCACTGACCCACCCTAGTGACACCACCACAGGGGTGGTGGCTTTGCCGTGCTCGCCCAGGGCAGGGAACACTTGCAGAGCCCGGTGTGGTTCAGGTTCCCCTGTCCTTCCTCTCTGTCTCTGCATGGTGCTGCTTATGGTGTTTTTCAGGAGTGGAAGGTGGCTGTCAGGTTTCCACCCAGGGAACATTCTGGTTTTGCCCACCTAAGAGGAAGAGGTGTAAGGCCTGTGGTCCCCCAGCAGCCAGGCTCCCATTCCTGTGGGTGCTGCAATCCCTGACCCTGCAGCTCTGTTGCTTTCCTTCCCTCTCCAAGTGACGGATACAAATGTCAAGAAACAGCTTTTTATTTGGACAGTAATTGTGCAGGGTTTACTCTGCAAATGCCATCTACAGTAATTACTCAGGGCTTGTGCTAACAAACTGTCTTCCTGCCCACCAGCTGCAGTTGTTAGAGCTGTGGAAGGAAAGGATGGATTTAAAAAGTTGCTCCCAAGGGATTCCTCACTCAGGGCTGTGCTCCTGGCTCTGGGATTTCAGCTCTGGTGATAGGGGTGTCCAGCACTTTGCTGCAGGGATCTCCAGGGGCTGTGCCAGGAGAGCTTTTTCATGACAGGGAAATAGGAAAACTACTTGCATGCAAGCCTTGGGCTGGTCTGGGAGTTAGAGGAACCAGAGCTGGGCAAATGATGTGTGTTGAGAAAAAGGAGCCTGCTCCTGAACGACCCTGATGGGCCCAAGGGAGAGCTTAACTCTTCCACTGGCCCCTTGGAAGAGGATCTCAGGGAGGTCATTTAAATGATGCACTTCTCCCCCTCATTCCTTACAGACCAGAGCTGAACCACTGGATTGTCAGGGTGGGAACCATCCCAGAGTCACAGTCCCTGGGTGCAAAAAGAATTGAAGGAAGAAAACAGCCATCTTTAACTGGGAAGTCATTTGATTTTGCTTCTCGATCCCTGCAAGAAGTGTGACTGCTTCCCTCAGGCACTTGCCTGCCAGTCCCAAATCCTTTGGGATGAGGATTTGCAGACAGTGTGTGCCCCTTGCTGGGGATATCTGGAAGGTTTTTCCCAGAGCAGGACAGTGAATTGTGCAGTTGGATCTCCTGCCCCTCTGGAAAGGGGCTTTGCTGGCCTCCACCTGTACTGCAGGTGCCTCCAGATATTGCTTGGCAGATGCTTCTGGATGGGGTGATTTACAGAACTGCCCAGCTCTGGGCAACTGGCAAAGCCAGCAGTGGAGAAGTGCTTGGAAATTTGCTCTGGGCAAATATTGAAGGTCAAAATGAACTTCCTTAGTTACTCAAAAATCCCAAATGATGATCCCTCCTTTACCTCATGTGAAACTGTGGATCTCTGTTTGTTGACATGCTCAGATGAGAATCATGTTCAAGGCCAGTCACAAAACAAGGGGACGTTCTGTGTAGAAGGTGCTGAGTGACAGAAAGCAGCAGAAGTTGAGGACTTTGGCAACAAAGTCCTGTGCTGTTGGGCCACCTACATCCCAATTCATCTGCAAGCCAGGCAGCAAATGCTCTTTGTGAGCTTTGTGCCTCCAGCTCCTCTAAGTGCATGGGAAGGAAATCAGAGATCATGTTTGAAACCCGGCATTGCTTTTCCAGAGTGAAAACTGGTGGTTAAATTGGAAACCAGCCCAAAGGGTGGGTTAGAAATTGGAAGCCAGCCCCAAGGTATATCTCCTGAGGCAAGAGAAGGGTCCCATATCTTCTGCTGGAGCATCAGGACCTGGTCCCATGCAGCTCAGAGTCAGGGACTAGCATTGAGGCAGCCTGGAAAATGCAGGATAACTGAGAATTATTGTGCTGAAACAGAAATCTCTTTCCAGGCTTGAGACCAGGCTGCTCCTGCACCTCAGGCCCCAGCTCCACTTCAAGTCTGAGGAACTGGACACTGAGAAGGTTTTTGTTGGGCCAGCCCACAGATATGAGGTGAGCAGCAGGGGTTGGGGTGGATCCTGGTGGCTCCTGGCCTGGTGGACCTGCAGAAGTTCTGGCAACTCAGGCAGTTGTGATATTAGTCAAATTTGGGGCATTTCACAGAATCTGGATCCTTTTGATGGGTTCTGAGGGGTGTATCTGTTGTTCCCGAAACCCTCATCCCTGCTTTTTGCAACTGCCCTTGGAGAGCAGCTGGGAGGGTTCCTGCAAAACAACCCCTTGGCACATGAAAGCAACACTGGGTCAAAAAGCTGAGTGTTCAGAGGCTTTTGTTCCAGCCCCAGACTCAAGGCACCTTTGTGCTCAGGCTGTTCAAAAGCAGCTGGAACAAACTGGCTGCGTTTGAGCTCGAGTCCATTGCAAACAGTTTTCAGTCAGGTACCTCCTGCCTGTTCCTGGGAGTCAGGGAAAGCTGTCCAGCCTCCTGGCTCAGCACTGGCCCTCACAAAGGGCTTGGGAGTGCTTTCCCTTGCTGACCAGTCCTCACCACCCTTCAGCCTTGGTCCACCTCCGGCTCTAGAAAGACCAAAGCATTTCAGGGAAGGAAGCAAAGCAATTTTCTACCTATTTGCCTCCACCCCAATGGTGTCAAGTCTGCAAAAAAGTAGAGAGAGCAACTGAAAGGGTTAGAAAATGAGGCACTACATCATTCCAGACACTTTCAAAAGCTTGGCTGTCACAAGGGCTTGGGCATCATCCCATGGGCTGGTGCCCTTGCAAAAGGTAATCCTCACCCAGCAAAGGAGAGAAGGGGGAAAAAGAAGGTGATGATGGGAGAGGCAAAGCTCCCTTTTCAGAACCACAGCAGCATGAGGGCTTGTCCCAGCTAGTCTGAACCATGGGCTGGTGGGATAATGTGGTGCAGGCAGGAAAGCTGATGCTGGGTTCTGGAGCTCTGGAGCTGGCTGTGGCTGGGCTGATGCTGTTGGGAGCCATTGGATCAAGGCAGTAAAGAAATGAAAGGAATCTGCAGTCGATTTTACTAACAGGATAAGGGAAATGGATAAAAAAGAACAAGAAGGTTATTGCTTTGCAAGAGAAGAGTAGTAAGTAGGTCTGACCTCAGTAGAGAAACAATTATGCTGGCTTTGTGTTTGGAGGAAAAGCACTGCCTTTTTTTTTTTTTTTTTTTTTTGGAAATGAAGAGGGAACATTTCACAATCAAATAATTTATTCTACTCTGTCCCTCCCCCAAACTGGTCACGGGATGTTGTTGCATAAGCAGCTTTCTCCTTGAGCAAGGGCAGGTTTTGCTTGACGAGATGTGTAGAGCAGAGCCAGTGGCAGTCCTGTGAATAAAATAGAAGGCACAGTTCACTGTGGCCCTTGATTTAACCAAAAGGCAGAGTAGGCATTGCTTGGCATCAACCATGAAAGAAATTTGTGAGTTTTGTGCAGCTTCAAGTGCTGATATCAGTGATGTTAGTGACTTTTAGAGTTTGGAGCCTGTGTGCTGAATTTAAGAATGGGTGTGTGGTGGATTCAGGACACCCATGTTTGGTTTTTTAAGCTACTGCTCTTGGCTGTGTCAGCTGGTGCACTGGTGACAAGCTGGTCCTTTCCTCTAAGATTCATCTGTGCACTGTGTAGAACTGTTGCTGCTCTTCTCAGTGGATGGCTGGGGCTGCCCTGGATTCAAAATCCTGCCTGTAATGATTGTGTGGGTCAAGATCTCCTGGGAAAAGATCCTCCATGGAAACACCAGTCCCAGCTAAGAAATAGCCAAGCAGGGCCCCCGTGGCTGGGAAGGCTGGTTACAGTAAGTCCACTTTTGTGGGGACACCTCTGTGTCTGTCACCTCACAGATGGGGAAACTGAGGCACAGAGCCATCTGTGGGTGCGTGTGCAGGGTCCTTCATGGGGCATGTCCTGCCTGCTGGGGTGCCCTAAGCCCAGCAGCAGCTGTTGGCTGCTGCCCAGTGCTTTGGCTGCCTCCTGTCCGTGTGGATGCTGTGCTGAGCACAGGGTGGTGGGTTGATTTAAAACCCACAGTGGCTCTGACAGCAGCTTCTACCCACCTGAGCTGTAACTACAGCCAAACCCTTTGCAATTCCCTTTAACCCAGCCATTGCCTCCTCTGCCTTTGTCCTCACAGGGGCTGTGTCATCAGACCAACTTTGCATTTTGATGTCCATGCCCTCCACCTTGGTGACATCTCCTTTGGTGAGTGTGCCCAGGGTTTAGATCACAGTGTGAGAGGTCTGTGTGTTGTCAAAATGGAGCACTTGAACGTAAGAACATCCATCACTCACGTTCCTTCACAGCAGCCTCTCCAGGGTGCTGACTCCAGGGCTGCTGGTGGCTTAAGCAGCATTTTCCCATCATGAGGTCAAGTAGGACCAAAGGAATAGAAAGTCAGTATTTTCTGGTGTCCCTCATAGTCTGTTCTGCTACAGTCTCCCAGTCCTTGGCAGCAGAACAGCTGTGAAAGTCCTTGTCCCAGGAGGGCCCAGGGGATGGGACTGCAAGAGGAGGGAGCTTAAGTCATGTACCAGCCTGTAGCTGCTCTGGGCACATGCAAGGACACCATTTACCCTTCCTACCTTTAGTGTGGGGTGTTAATTAGTGCTGTGAGGGCACTTCATAATCCCCAATCAGGTCTTCAGAGCCACGGGCTTCTTCTTCCCTACCAGACATGCAGCTCTGCTGACAGAGCCGTGGCTGAGCATCCAGAGCATCGTCGCCATTGAAATGCAGATTCCAGTTCTCCATCTCAGGCTCACAAAAGGCTTTTTACCGAGATGATCTACAGCTTAAATGTGAAATCAATTGTGGATTGATTGAAGGGCCATTATCATTCTGCAACCAGGATGCCTCTGTGTTTTCATGCTGTTTATGAGCTTTTTAAGAAAACTCATTACTTTTCCTGAGCTGCTTCCTCCCCTCCCTGCATCACCACTGAGCCACTTCTTGGTTTCCTTTTCAATAAATGAAACAACAAGAAAGGCACCAGGTAGGAATATGGTTCTGTAATAGGAGATTCATCCTGCTTAATCTGATTTTATTCCCAAGGCCTCTTCAGCTGAAGGCAGCTGTTGTATCTTTGCTTCTTTTAACTGTGCTGCTGACTGTTGTCTGCATCTGGTGACCTCGGTCTCATTTGGAATTGTGACATCTGTGTTGGTCCTTTTTGTGCCCCTCCTGCCTCCCTGCTGGAGTCACTGCTGGAGCTGGGCAGTGGTCACTGTTGATGGGCACAGAGAAGCTCTTGGCTGTGCCTGCAGTTGGTTTTTCCTCCCCCTCTGTGTTCAAAGGACGCTTGGTAAGCAGGCCCTGGGAGATGTGTCCTCCCCACAGAGCTGGCCAGCCAAGACAGATGTCCAGTGCAGAGCAGGTTGTGGGCTGGTGTCCTGGCTCTGCAGGACATCCCCACCAGGTGTGGCTGTATCCCTGGCTTTCTGTTATGTCCCTGTTTGTTTGGTAGGGTGAGATGTAGTTCCTGATCTCAAGCAAGCCTGGGGTTTGCCTCCAGTGAAGTTGTCACATGCTTGGTCTAGTTGCCCCAAACCAGGAGGTGCCTTAAGGATCCTGCCTAGAGAAACTGCATTAGAGTGCTTTGTATCATGTTCTCATTCCCAATTCCATCCTCCCTTTGTTTTACTGTAGCTTCTCCTCAATGACAACTCACTGCTTTTATACCTTGAAAACAGTGGGAGTGTAGACAGAGTTAACAGGGAATTTTACAGCCTGAATTTTGAGAGTAAATCCTCAGTTTGGGTGCACGCTCATCAGTGAGAAATACCTGGTGCTGCTTTGGGGCAGGGGAGAGAGCTCCTCCTCCCCATTGGAGAAACTCGTGGTGTTCAGCAGGGCTAAGAGTGGGCATTTCCAAGCAGCAATCTGGGGGCAGCAGCAAAGGAACTAAGTGACCATTAATTCCTGGCTGAGCTGCTCAATGAGCTGCAGTTCAGATAACAAAGAGCCAAACTCCAAGCTCAGTTTTATCCTACCAGGACATTCACCCCAGGAATCAGGAGATGATTGGTGCCTATATTGTGTCATTTTCCAGGCTTTCCTCGCACCTTGTCCTGCCGCCTGACCAACACCTCCCTGATGCCCATGGCCTTCACCCTCCACATTCCTGGGGACGGCTCTGGAGAGCCCAGCCTCACCAGCTCGGACCAGACATCCAGCAACACTCACCCATCCTGGAGAAAGGGAGCTCAGGGTCTCACGAAGCCAATGGAATTTACCATAACGCCCTGCAGAGGGACCATCTGCTCCCAGGCATTCCAGGATATCCAGGTATGGGAAGAGTCCAGCCATACACACTTCAGCAGGTGGGGCTGAAGCTTCACTGATGTGTGGGAGGGCTTTGGCACTGCCAGCTTTGAGTATTGTGTGAGTAAGAGATCTGCACTGGTGTGAGGCCTCTTTTAGCTGGGTTGCTCGGGATGTTCCTGAAGGAGCACAGTTTTGTTTCCAAGATCATAAGCTGAAATCATGTACCATATGGTCAAGTACAGAAGCCATTCGTGTGTTTTTGAGAGGAATTTCTCTGATGGAAAGCAGCAGAGGAAGGATGAGGACAGAAGGTGGCTGTTAGAGGGAGGGATGTCATTGTATAAATCAGTTTGCTTTTCTTCCCTGTCTCATTTCTCCTCTCCCGGGGAGCAGAATGAGTTGTATTCCCTGTGGGGATCTCCAGTGGGGACAGAAAACACTCTGCAGCCATGAACTGCCCAGCACCTGCTGGGCCACACTTTGCCCTCAGCTTCCTGCTGTAGAGCTGACACAGCTCTGGAACTGGGCACATGCTGTTCATTTTGTTCAAGTCAACAGATCTCCTCTGCATTTATGTCATTGTAGTCAGGTGAAAAATTGATCCCTTAATTTGAATAAAGTGGTGAGTAGAGCATTAGTCTGATGTTGCTGGAGGGGGGATCTATGAGAGGCTTGAAAACAGGCTTGGGAGGAGGTTTGTTCTCCATGATGAGTGGGTTGAACTTCTGGAGCTGGTTAAACCCAGCCCTGACACAGTGGACTTGTACATGTGGATAAAGCATCAGGTGTGTGAGAGTTCAGACTCAATCTCCTGCATCAAGGAAGAGGGAGGTGAATTTTCCTCTTGCTGCTTTTCCAGATGTTTGGGGGATAAATGTAACCAGGGAATCTTTCTCTGACTCCACAATGAAATTCTGCCTTCCAGCTCTGCAGAGATAAAACCACCTCAGATGGGTGGTCCTGGCCTGTCAGTGATGGGTTTTCATGCTCATACCAGGCCCTGACCTGCAGAGCTGTGTCAGCACAGCTGTCCCAGTGTAAGGCCTTCCCTCCCTCCCCCAGGCAGCTTCCAGCTCTCTTGCCCCATCCATAGAGGGAGGTCCATGAGAAACCAGGGGACAAGAGTGGAAGGCTGGGCCATGCCCACAGGACACACACACTCTGCAATTTTCTTTCTGCTTACTGCTTTCCTGCCCTGCTGTAGCCATGCAGAGCCGACTTTTCCAAAGCAGAGGGCACTGGGACATCTCCCTGCAGCTGATGATCAATGGGAAAAAAGGGCTTCAGTCCTTCAGGGGCTGTTCAGAAGCACTGAGAGCCTCCTGGGAAAGAAGACTAGTGTTGGGGGTTTGTTCAGCTGGTTTTGCAGAGTTATCCTTTGGGCTCTCAGCAATATCCTCCAGCTGCTGTGGTGGGATTGGAGCAGTCCTGGCTTCCTCTGGCCTTGAGCCTCTGTGCCAACCCAGCTCTGTTGTCAGGAAGCCAGGAAAGTAGCTTCCCTTGGCATGGACTCCAAAGGGAGACTGGAGGGGGAATAACCTTCTCCTGAGGAGGAACATCCCTTGGGTTGAGCAAAACTGGGTTAATGAAGTGAATCTGTTAAAGGAGGGTAAAATACAGGTTGTATAAGCTCTTGGAGAGTTGCTGTTGCCAGACACTTAGATTTAAGTAAATTAAACCTTTATGGTTTTTACCCTCCTCTCTTTAGTCCTTCCATTTCCTGCACCCCACAGCAGACCAGGGTCCATGGTTTCCATCCCAAGATCGTGCTTGGTTTGTCTTACAGGCTGGCACGTGCTCACGCTGGAGGATTGAACCCAGTAAGGGAGTGATCCCCCCCGAGAGCGAGGTGTCTCTGACTGTCACAGCAAACCTCGATGACACGGGGAAATTTGAGGACAAGGTGAAGCTGTTCATTGAGAACAGTGAAGTGAACATCATCCCTGTGCAGGCTGTGGGCGTTGGCACCACAATTGTCACTGACAAACCCTTCTCTCGGGAGCTCAACTTTAGCCCCCACTTCAGGTAGGATCTCTCTCAGCTCCCGCTTCTCCCATGGGCTCAGCAAGGAGCAGTTTTGCTGTAGTCCTTCAGGCTAGGTCTTTTTCAGTGCACAAGGTCCCAGCTCTGATTCCTTTAGAAACATGTGATGGCCAGTTGAGAGTTTTTAGATACCCTCAAAAGCCACCAAAGTGGAAGCCAGTAGCTAAATTGTCGCTGAATTGTCTTTAGTTCTGATACTTTTATTTCCTCACTTTATCAAGTAACGATTCGGAGGAAAACAGCAGGTCCCGGCAGCCTCTGGCTGGAAAACGCTACATTACCAGTATAAACATATTTCTCTCTGCAATAACGTTGCTTGCTTTTCCGTTCCCTATGGAGCATCATCTCACAACAGCGCGAAACCTTGGCAGTGGCTTCCTGGCAGCTCCTCAACTAAATGAATGGTGTGGTTTTATTTCCCCTCTGCCCGGGAATCCAGGAGGAGCAGCAGAATTTCTCTGCCCTGTGATACCCCTCCAATTGTTCTTCCCCAGCTCCCCTGCGGGGCTGGGCTTTATTAGACACAGTGGCTCTTCCCTCGTTTGTTCTGCCTGCTCCCTTCTCTCCTCCACAGCAGAAACCTGAGGCACAGACCAGCAAAGGTGGCTGCAGGACCAGCTCCAAAAAGGACAGGAAAAGTCTAGTGAGGGAGGTTGGGTGGGATACACTGGGAGTGTGAATTCATAGAGCTGAGCTTGCAGGAGGGGCTTCACTCATCCTAATGGCTTTGTCTGAAACATTCTTGTAAACAGGAGAAAAAGAAGCCTTTTCAAAGTGCTGTTTGCCTTGTGCTGGAGAGCTCTTGGGACAGGAAGAATAGTCTCCTCAACGTGCCTGTTCTTTTCCCTGGCTGCAAAGAGGGTCCACAGTGCTCCCAATACCCAAATTTTGGGGTAGAAAGAGCAGGTTAATCCCACCTTAGGCATTTAGGATAGATTTCGAGGGGTTAAATATGCACCCACCAGCCATCCACACAAGCAGGGGCATTGCAGGGAGATGGGTGCTAGCCCACATGTCCTGTGCTCTGTGCAGCCACAAACTGGCTACAAAACAGAGGTGTGACTGGTGTTATCATCCTCTGCCCCCTTCCCATCTGTGCCTGCAGGCCTGGTTTGGGGTTGTTGCTGGTGCTGTCAGCTCAGAGCTACCACCCAGTGAGCTGAGATGGGACCCAGGGAACAGCTCCAATGAGTTGGGTGTTCCCAGAGCCACAAATTCTGCAATCTACCCAGAGCTTCTCCAGGCTTTCATCTGTTGCTGTCCCCAGCATAAACCGTTTCACACTAAGCTTGCACACGTCATTTGTTAAGAGTCTGTTTCAGAGCGAGTTTCCCCCATGCCATCCCTCCTGTGTTTGTGTGGAGCTGCTGGCAGCAGACCTGCACCTTGCCAGCCACGTAACCCGTGCCTTTCAAAAAAACCAATAACTTTTCCAGGAACAATTTGTTTCCTGGCCATGCTCAGATTTATTGAGAATAAAATAATGGCTCCAGACTAGCCTGCAGTTAGTGTTTCTTTACATGAGGGAATTAATTTCCACTGAACATTCATTTTGTTTTCTGTCTAGCCAGTCATCTCTTCTTGTCACTCCACTCCCTCAGTAGCTAGACCTGGTCTTGCTGCCATCTTCATACTGGGGAAACTTCTGTTGATCCCATGTTCCCACAGTGCATTTCTCTTCCTAAAACAACAGACTCAGCTACACTGTTCAGGCAAAAGATGATCTGTTGGGAGCGATGAGGGTCGGATGCTCTCTAAGAGCTGGGGGGTTGAGGGGGATAGCATGGGTGCCAGGGCAGGAGCCCCAGCAGGAAGGCAAGTGGTGCCCAGATCACCAGATGAGTCTCTGTACCCTGCAGATCCCCAGTAGCATCCCCAGAGGATGAGTGGCCTTTTTGGTAGAGGTTTTATAGCTGAGTGTGCAGTCAGGGAGTTCCATCAGGGTGCTGCTGATGCCACCTCTGCTTCTCTTCCAGCCTCACTCCCTGCTGTTACCAGTTCAAAATAACAAACTAAGGACGACACACCCACCAACTGTTCTGGACCACAGAAGGGTTCAGCATCGTTCAGCAGCGTCGTGGCCTTGGTACCACCAAGGGCAAAAGCACTTCCCAGGTCCCCAAACCTGCCAGCCCCGTGTTCAAGCTGCAGCCGCCGCAGATGGAGCTGGTGCCGGGCCAGACCAAGGACATGGTGCTGGAAGGCTTCTCCAGCACCCCCCAGGTGAGGTCCCACCAAGGGCTGAGCCTTTCCCATCAGATCCCCTCCACTGGGGCTTCTCCTGCAGCCCCTTGACATTTGCCTGGGAGAAGGAGCAAGTGCCTTCAAGAAACCGTTTTAAGGCCACAAGTTTCCATGGCAGCACCAGTTGCTTTCCTTGCTGACCACCATCAGTTGCTAAGGCTTTTTTGTGTTTCCATAGCTACCAAAACCCAGTGCTGATCCCAAAATACAGGCTGAAGGAAATATTGGTCCTTCAGGGCAAACAGGAGGTTACCAGTGTCATGTGCTGAGGCAGAAAGAAAGGGCAGAGAAAAAAAGTTACACTTGGACTGAGAGCCCAGGCAGAAAGCAAATGAAACAAGTGCCAAGTGCTTTATCTGGGGAAAGCAGGGAGTAAAACAAAAGCCCTGTGAAGGGAGGGAGTGTCTGGGAGCAGCATCACTTGTCCTCTGCAGACAAACGTGAGCAGAGGGCTGGTCTAACCCTGAGTCCTGGAGGAGGAAAACCAACACTCTGTCAGCTCTAATGATCAGTGTGATGTCCATCCACGTGGGAAACTGTTCCCAGAGATCATTATAATTGACAGCTTGACTTTTGTCAATATTTCCATAACTGCTCCCCAGTCTCTCAGCCAGCCCTGGTGTCCCAAGGGCAGCCAGGTCTTGCAGCACCCTTGGAAAGCAGCTCAGAGGGGCAGATTTTAGCAGGGCCTTGGGGTGTTCTCCTCCCTGGACCTTTCTTTCCAGGAGAAATACAACTCTGCAGAGAAGCTGCCAGCTAACCCTGGTGTGCATTCCCTGGTCCCAGGACCACTGGGCACAGATGTGGAAGTGAATGTGAAATGTATCTGCATGAAAGTCCTGCTGAGACTGGTGTTCTGAAAGGTTTTAATGGGTTGCCTCAGTGGTAGCTTGAGAAAGACTCGATTAATCACCAGAAGTGGGACTGTCCCTGTTCAGTTCTGAGCCCAAGGTTTTGCTGAAAAGGGAAGAAGGTTCTAGAAAGGAAACAGAGTGACCAGGGAACTGGTGAGGATGTCTTGCCTGGAAATCCAAAAGGGCATCTGTGAGCTCAGCGTGGTTGCCTGGCTCCTGCAGTCAGAGCCAAGACCCTGGAAGTGGGTTTCCACCTTCCTTGGGTCTGAAGAGCTTCACAGTCTCTTCATCTCCTTGCAGCCCATAAAACTAGACAAAGGGGAGGAACGTCACATCCAATTTAACCCAGCTTATGAAAAGGATTTGTATAGCTGGGTAGCAGAGAAGACACTGAACATGGAGTTCATGGAGCATCCCCATGAGGAGCAGATCACCATTCGGGGAGAAGTCTACTTCCCAAACCTCCATATCCAGACCAAGGCCCTGGACTTTGACTACCTCATAAATGGCACTGAACAAGTGGATTGTGTGGCAATGACCAATTGCAGCCCAATCCCTGTCCACTACCACTGGTCCTTCCAGACAGACAGCCAGGTGAACACCATAAGGTAGGTGCTCCTTTGCTTGGAGCTCTTCTTCCTGGGGTCCTGTTTGTGCTTTGCAAGGACCGAGGCTGTTTGCCTGGGATCTGAAATAACAACAACCAGCCGTGGTCAGGCTGGATGCTCAGGGAATAGGTGTTCTCCACCAGTTTCATGCTGATGTAGCCCCCACACTGGTTTTCCCTGGAAATGAAAGCTGCTTTCTCAGACCTCTGTGGCCTGAGGCAAAGACCACCTTGGTGAAGGGAGTTTTCAGCTGTTAAACCACACCTCCCCTTCACAGACCAGCTCTTTGGTGTTTGACAGTGATCAGCAGGTTCTGCTGGGGCTCTGGGGGTGGCTGTAGCTGTCGGTGGGAGCACTTGTCTGAACATCCCTGGGAAGCAGGGCCATACAAGGCTGGGCTGTGCTTTCCAAGCCCAAGTGCAATCCTGCAGTAGTGCTGGGGCACATCTGTAAACACATTTCTGGCAGTTCCTCCTGCTCTGACCTGTGCAGAGTGCAGAAGTCTGGTCTGGGCAGTTTTTATTAGAGAAGCAAACGGTTCTTCCATAACGCCCCAGGAAACTGAGCCCAGTTAACCACTGGGCATTGAAGTGCTGCAGTTGCAAAGAACAGAGCTCATCCAGAAACAGTTTTGTTTGGGGAACTGGGACCTGGCTCAGAGGAGATGACCTCTTGGGAGTTGGAACTAGCTGTGGTTCTGAGGAGGGCTTGGGGAAGAAGCCCTGGGCACTGAGGCAGCCCATTCCCAGCTGGGTCTTACCAAGTCCCGACAGGTTTTTCGTGTGGCCCTTCTTGGTGCACAGCACCATCACAAGCAGACCCAGGAACACAGAAGAAAATCTGCAAAAGCAGATGGTGGGAGGTGGAGAAAGAAAGAGGGGCAGGGCTGTAAGCTCTGCTTCGAGGCCCCTGTCATCTTCTGGCAAATTAGATTAGGGTTTAATTACAAGCTAAAGGGGAAATCTAATTTTGATGCTAGAACAATGCATATATTTTATAATAACAGAGAAACAAGCACATTCCAGCGAAGCCCATGAGGAATTAATTTCCTCTGAGGCCACTTGTTGGCTGCTTGCCTGTTTCTCTTTACTCCTATTTTTTTAGAACCAATTTAGGTTTTTCGAAATGGGAATGCTGAATCAGTTTCCAGCTTTTAATCGCCCCATCTCCCACTAAATTGGCTTTGCTGGACCTGAGCCTTTAGGCACTTGCTCTTCCAGCTGATGCTGAGTCACCCAACTCTGCTCGAGTTGGTGGCAGCTGAGGGTCCCAAGCATCTGGCAGGAGAGCAGCCTCTGCTCCAAAGGGTTTGGCATGGCCCCTTTGCTGGCTCTTTAGCCCTGTTCTGCTCTGCATGTTAATTAAGCAGTAATGTATTCTCTCCGGGTCCCTCAGCAGCCACCATGCGATTCTCTGTGGCAGAGCTGGAAGTGAAGATGGTCTCCAAGCTATTAACACCTCAAATTGCTCATTAAGAGCCTGGCAGAAGGGCAGCATGTCAGATATTATTTCTAGTCCACATTAAGCACTGTTGGTGTTCTAAATGTTCAGATCAAACTAACTCGGTCTGACATCGAGGGAATCAAACATCAAGTCTCAGGAAGGTGAGATCAGTAGAATTTAACCACCCATACACATCCGACCTTGCTGGAGCCGAACAGCAGAGACTCCCAGCAGCCATTTGTTTTGGACAGGAGAGAAAAATGTTGTTTTGCTGCCTGGACAAGACTGTGTGCTTAGATCCTTTTTTTTTTTTTCTTCTAATTGTTCAACCCATTTTTTCCTCTCACTCTCTAGTCAGTGCTGCTGCTTTGAGCAGAGCAATGGTATAAGCAGCATGGTCCAGCTGTGGCTCAGGGGTCGGATGTGCCCAACTTGTGCCAACCCATGTCCCTTCTCTGACTGCTGAGCCAGGAGTCTCTCATGGTTACTCCTTGTCTACACCTACAGGGTTAGAGGCAGACTGAGAACAGGCTCCCCTCACCCCTTGGACCTTTGATAGCTCAAAGTTGAGTCAAGCCTTTGCACCAAGAGGTTTTCTGCAGTGTTGGAAGAGACCTCCAGAATCGCCCCGCTGGAGATACTACATGTGGAGTCCAATTCAAACATTTCATCCTATTTGTTACCTTCAAGGTTTCTTCTTGAAAGACTGATTTGTCCCCTTTCTAAGGGTAGTGACCAGCTCCTCAGCTTTCTTTGGGTTTCCCCTCAGAAGGAAGACGTTCAATCAAAAGTACACTACAAGGGTTTTCTCAGAGGCTGCCAGAGGCTCATCCCCAAATGTAGCTGTTCTCTGGAGTTTTCATCCTTTATTAAGCCTTGTTGTTTGCACTGAACATTGCTGTTCCTGCATCACCTCTTTGGTCCCTTCCTGTGAGACATGTTCCCTCCCTGGGACAGAGCTGACAGGCCCCCAGTGGTCCGTGTGCCAGGGTGGATCAGCAGGGAGCTCTGGACCATCATGGCACATCTCAAACCCCCTCCCTGTATTGATCTGACGTCTCTGGAGAGTGGGAACTTCTTGGCTACAAATCCAGCGTAATGAATTGCCGGTAGGTTCTTCGGGGAAAGGGTTTGTTGAGCTAAAGTTGTAGAACGTGACTCTTTCCATTCCATCCAGGGTTTTCTCGGCCAGTTTGTTTTGAATGAGCCAGGAACCTTTCTCCTCCCGAGTGGGTCTTCCTGTAGCATCAGTAATATCTCCTGCCTCTGCCCTCTCTCCTTCCATGTCCCCTGGCAGGGACACTGCCAGATCCCAGCCTTGGTGCTGACCAAAGAAACCCCAATTCTGTGTTAGAGTGGATGGGTTTTTGCTTTGCTGTTCTTATAACAAGGAAGAAATGGAAAATGCAGGCAGTGAAAAAGAGTGCAAGGCAGAAATGTGACAGCAGTGCTCTGTCAGCCACCAGTGGGGAGAGGCAGGAACAGTGGGAGCATCCATCAGAAATGTGCACATGCCCCTGGGGCTGGGGACACTCAGATGAGTGACAGTCATGCACACGCCTTTCTTACCCCCTGGTGCTTTCAGCTCCATGGGGCAGTAGATTTTGGCCTTTGGTAACCCCACAGGTGCTATTTCCTTGTTTAAATCCTGTGGGTAACTTAGAAAAGGGCTGAGTTGTGGTGGAAAGTTGCTGCATGAAGTTTGGCAGCAGCAGAGCAGTGGTTTGCTGGGTGTAACAGAGAAGGGGCTCTTGGAGCAAGTGCTGGGCAGGGATCACTTCTGGGATGGCCACACACTGCTGCAGACAGCAGAGTCTCTGTATTCCTGGGCAGAGACACTGCGGAGCTGAAGCAAGGAAGACCTGGAAATTTGCTACTTGTTCCATTCAGACAGAATGAAAAGTAAGCAAGATGCTTGCCAAGGAGGGGTTTGTCAGTGTATGTTGTTAGCAAGTCTGAGGTGTGGGACGGTGATGCTTTGCCAGGACAAAGGTAGGGGTGGTGATGATTTCCTATTTGCAATGTGTATGTGAGCTTCTTTCTCCTCTACCTTCAGCATGGTGTCATCATGCACCTTCCACCTCTGTGCCTCTTCCAGCACAGTGCTGCTCTGTTCCCAGCTGTCAAGTCAGCCAGCCTGCCCCAGCCTGGGCATGGCACCTTCTGGTGGAGCTCATGGGAGCACCGTGGCACGTTTGAGGCAGGTTCTTCTGCCCACTGGGAGACACCTGGAGGACACTGACTTGGGACACTGGAATGGAGGTTGGAGTTCAGAACAGCTGCATGGGAGTCGCTTTAACTGTTACACCTGGGCTTGGGGAGCCTCAGCCTCCTCCTTTGCACGAGGGTGACAGACCCTGAGGGCTGTCATTCCCCTCGGTGGACTGGGGAGCAGCCCCAGGGTGTTGGAGGGGCAGGCTGGGGGCAGGGGAGGTGAAGGAGAAAGAAAGCCTTGCCTGAGGGAAAAGCACTGCACATCCCAAGGTGCTGTCAGGTGGCTGCCCACCTCCCTGGCTTTGTTCTGTGCCCTCAGGACCAACCCTGGGAGATGTCCACGTGTCACCCATGCCCCGAGCAGGCTGTGGGGGATTGGGTGGGGGTTGCCTTCTGCTTTTAGAGCCAGCCAGCAAATGCTGGCTGGAAGGTGACTTCTTTTAGTTCTGCCAGCACTGCTCAGCTGCAAACCTGGGGCACAGCCAGCTTCTGCCTTTGCTTTCTGCACGTCTTCATTAGCCAAGGCTCCCAGTGGGAGCTGGCACTGTGAGGGGTGTCCCTCTCCCTGTCCATCCCGTTCTGGGTGGCTCATGCTTGAATTCCCTCTGGGCAGGAGGCACAGGAGGTTCAAGGCCTGTCTCTGCAAAGCTTTACTGTTTGTGAGACAAAAGGTTGATGTTTCCTTTTGGTTTGTTGGTGGGAACAGCCCTCACTCCACGTGGCAGAGATGAGCAAGGTGACATAATTTTCCAGACCTCATTTCTCTTTAATTTCTCCATCTGTTTCTCACCCTTCATTCTATTGCTGCTTCCTGCAAGTTGTGCATCAAACAGCTTTCCCAAGGGAAAATCCATCTGAAACCCCTGGCATTGCCCTGCCCAAGAGTGCCATTTCTACTATGGCTGTGCTCTTTCCTGGTGCATCCCTGTCTGCCAGGGTCCAAGGGGGATGGGGCCGTGACACAGCATGGATGGGTCCGGAGTCAAGGTAGAGGTGCAAATGCAATACTTTTATTGAGATGTGCCCGGGCTGTTATGAGTTCTGGCGGGGAAAGGGCTAGAACATGGGGTGGAGCATGAGACAGACAAAGGGGGGAACAAATCGGGGTAGGGACACAGGCAAAGGGGGAGGAACGTGGGAGGAACTGGGGAAGGAAAGGGCGAATGGGAACTGTCTCCTCTCTGCAGCTTCTTCAGCCTATCAGAGAGGGGAGCGGGGAAGCAGGAGCAGGCAAAACTCGTGGCAAGACCAGGCTGTGCACTGTGCACTGTGGATACAATGCAATACACATATTTGAAACCACATAATAGCAGTAAAGTCCATATAACAAAGTCCTGTCAATTGCTGCCTGTCTTTCTCCACACCTGGAACCGCTCCCATCCTGAATCTTGCTCCTTCACACCTGTCTTCACAGGGTAGGTGACAAATCTTTAAACTCTTAGGAGAAGGGGCTCAAGCCCCTCTTGCTAAATTTGAATCCAGGTGCCAAATCTTCTTATGTTTTCGGCTGTAAGTCTGCACAGGATTTTTTGTGCTGATTCCTTCTAGCCTAAGGGGCTTCCTAGTGCAGAGGGGATGGGGAGCCCAACCTAAAGCTACATCATATCACTAAGAGCATCATCCAGACACTCCTTGAACTCTGAGAGGTTGCCATGGATTGTCTTTGCCAACTCAGAGAAGAAGTAGCAGTTGGGTTAAGGTGAAGACTTTGGGATGTCAGGGATGTGTCACCATCCATCTGTATCTCTTGGCTGGGACAGGGAGGCAGCCAGGGGCAGAGAGAGGGGAAACCTTTAGCTGTGTACAGCACAGCAGCTTGGAGAGGACTTCAGCTCCCAGGAAGATTGAATTGGGCTTGGCAAAAAGCAGGGAAGCCCAAAGAGATGCCCACCCCACAGTTAGTAGTGTGGGATGCTGTGAGGAAAGGTTGATTTATTCCCCACTGTGTGCTTCATGTAGCAGAGGGAAGCCAGAATTCCCAGGGGGTGAGGGACCCCAGGGGTCCTTCAGGGCCCAGCTGCCATGCCTTGCATTTTGAGATCGCCTGACCCAATTAGAGCTGCCTTTCCAGTGGCTCTGCTCTCAGGAGAGTCAGCTTTCTCCTCCGCAGGAAACCTTTCCAGCTGTGAGCTTGCTGTGTGTGTTCCCTCCTCGGTGGTAACTGTCACCTCCCTCCTGTCTCCTGGCCTCCATCACCTGCTCTTGTCCCCAGCAGTCCCTGGTGTCGCCTGGACCCAGCCAATCCTGTCTGGTCACCCCTCTTTCCGTCTCCAGGAGCTCTGTGGGGTCTGACTGTGAGCACGTCCCAGGATTACGCCTGCCTTGCTCTGGGTAAAGCAGGGGGGAATTACGTTGTACTATGTGAGTAACCTTTAACAGTAACACAGCAGTGATGTTAGTTTGGCTTTTACAGTGGGTAAAAGCCCCCCACAGCCATAATCTGATTTCTGCCAGGCTGAGGATCCCTGCTCCTTCTGAGCAGGGGACGGACGGACGCTCAGCAGGGTGGAGCTTCAGCATCTGTCTGATTAATTTTGGGATTCGATCCTAGGAAGTATATTAAGCTGGAGCTTTTTTGTTTGTTTGTTTTTCATTTTGTGTTCATTATCTGTGTTTCTGCTTTACCTTCTCCTTCCCTTCCCGTGGTGACCCGCTGCAGAATCCCCTCCGAGGGGTGCGCCGGGCTGTGGCTTCGCTGCCTGCCCGGGATGTGGCACGTCAGCACGGGCCGGTGGAGACACCTTCTGGGGTTCAGCAGAAGTGGTCGAGACGAGCAGGGATGTTTCCTTTCAGGTGAGGATTTCAGGACATGCTCCATCGTTTCGCCTCCCTCCTTTTCCACGCTCTGCTCTTGGCCCCGTGGAGGGACAGCGATGCCAGCGGGCAGAGAGGCCGCCAGCCTTGCTATGAGCCTGTCCTCAGGGCTCAGTTTTTGAGCCATCTCCTGCAGCCTTTGCCCTGAGGACAGATTGAGAATCTCTCTCTTCCCATGGCTAGAAGCCTCCTGCTTTCCTGTCTGATGCAAGCAGGAGCAGCCTGCTGCTCTCAGCTGTTTATGCTCAACCAGATGTGCTGTTCACCCTTGCAGCCATGCTCTTTGTATTCACAAGTTCTTAGCACTTGTCCCCATGAAAACATCTTAAAATGGTGAATGTCCAGATCCTGGCCACACAGATGGCTGGAACACATCTCTCCTCCTTTGCTCTTCATTATGGGAGTCGATAGTCTTCTGCTTGCAGAGCTGATTTTTGAAGTAGCTGGTAAGATTGTTGTTGGTGCTGATTGCTTTAAGTAGCACCTCCAAATTACAGCTGTTGGGCTTGTTTAATTTTGAACAAAGACTACAAATTGGATTTACTGTTAGAGATACTGATCTGTTCAGAGGGACCTTTGGCTGGAGTCTGATGGAGAAGCATTTTTCTGTCTGACAGAGAATCAGGAGCTCACTCGATGCTTTTAAATCCCCTGGCTGCTGTGCAAAGCATAAGGAAGGGGAAGACTTAATGGGTAATGTTCTATCATCTGTAAAATCAGTGCAAGCCAGAGTAACTCCAGCAAAGTCAGTGGAGACTGATTCCAGGGCCACAACTCGACCAGAGAGGGAAGTACAGCTACTGAAGAATGATCTGCACAAGGACCTGCTGTGCCTTCCTGCAGTGCTGATTGTGGCTGGTCCTGGTCCAGCTTAGGTTGGACCAAAGTGGCTGAGGAGCTTTAGGGCCTGCACCTTGCAAAACTGGATGAGCTACATCATGTAGAAATACTCTGGGAGAGGCATGAGCCATGTTGGATGGAGCCTGATGGGCCTCAGACCCTCCTCTGGCTCTTCTTGCTACAGTGATGACACGCTTTGAGGCCTTTGTGTTTCAGCAGGAGCTGAGGACTCTCAGTGCACCCAAAAAGCAGATCTTGCAAACACCCTCGAGCTGTCCATGGCTTGCTCCAAAGTGCCCTTTCAATCTGCATCTGATTGCCTGGAGGAGAAATTCAAAGGCATCAGAGGGTTCTGTAAACCCATGTAGATGCCTCGTGGCATCTAATGGGTGTCCCTGTGCCTGGTCCCTGGGGCCTGGCCAAGGATGCTGCACATGTGGGTGCCGTGTTCTAGTGCCTTCAGCACTGCTGAGTGTCCAGAAGTTGGCTTCAATGATCCTTGTGGATCCTTTTCAACTCAGGATATTCTACAAAACTCTTACATTTAACGCAGAGGGGTGGTGGCTTCTGGCACACGTCCGTGGTGCTGGCAGGGGCTGCAGGGACCTCGGGCACTGCCATTGCTGCTTTGGGGTGACTGGAGGCTCTCACACGGCCTGAGCTGGCAGGGTAGTGCCATCCCACGTGCATCTCCACATGTGCTTTGCAGAAGCAGTGTGATTCCTCGCTCCTCTACTCTGGGAGGCGGGTGTGGGAAGTGGTGTGAAGCTGTGTCCCGAGCAGGCTCAGAAACCAACACACAGGCTGGGACTTTTTTTTTTTTTTGTAACATCTCTGATGCTGGGAGCAGTAGGTGGCACAAGGTTGTCCTGGCCCTTGCAGGAAAGACTCCTCTCTCTCCCTGGTGTCAATCTGCCCATGCTCCCATTAAATCCCTGTGTTAATTCCTGGATGCATTTTGACTCATGAGGAGTGGCTGGGTTGGGTGAGAAGGACCCAGAGGGACTGACACCTTGTTGTCAGTCCCTCCAGCTCCAGACTGACCTGCTTCTCTCAGGAGGCTCCTAGTCTCAGCTCCACAGTGCTGGTGGAAGCACTTCCACAACCCTTTGGCCCCTCTGCTTTGGGATGGGTCCTCTCTGCAGGCAGAGGAGCTGCTCTCTGCCACTTGCCTTCCTCTGCCTTCCAGCCTTGGCCTGGAAGTGCTGAAGGATGCTTAGGAAGTCCCAGTGCTCAACAGAGAAAGAACTATGCAGCACCTGGACTGATGCTGAACATCTTGTTACCTCCCCCTTCTCCTTTTTTGGGACACCAACTTCAGTGCCAGAACTATTTCCTTCCCAGAGATCAGCTTTCAGTGGGCACCTTGGATTCCTTGCCCCCCTTCTTGTGACACTTGCTGTTATTCATTTTGACTTTTCCCCACTGGAACAAGTCCCTTGTGGTCTCTGTGCTGCTCAGCAGCAGGGCTTGTTCATCACATCTCCCAGTCTTGGCTCCCAGAGGGCTTCTACTTTAAGAGTGAAAAATGTTGTTCTCTGGGCACCATGGTCCCAGGAAGTTGCCTCAAATCACTCACTAAAACCGAAGGTGGTGGAATAGATAATTTTGGGTCTCTTGGGATCTCTTGGGGGTTATTATGAGCAGAGTCTCTCATCCAGAAACGAAACTCATCCTTAGATAATAAGCTACAAAGCTAAAGACAGTTATTCTTTGGGGAGCAAGTCATGAAAGGGACTGAATGCCCAGCTGGGAATAGAGTATCCAGGTTATGTTTGACTGAGCAGGGAATACTTGCAGCTCAGCACACTGACAGGCAGGCACAGCTCGAGTGTGTCCCTCATATGGCTTTAGAAAGAGAAGCAGAGTTACCCTGAGCACCTGCTGTGATTTAAAACAGGGAGCGTGACCTGAGTCACCTGGGAGCGTTGGAAAATGTTAACCTCCCTGACACTGTCAGAGAAACATTCCAGAGAAACCTGGGAGAGCTGCAGAGTTTCTGGCACTGGCCCTCAGGGGGGTGAGGAAGGATCGGCACTTCCAGGGGGTTGCTGTGGGGGCTGTGCTGGCTCATTGCTGGCTGGATCTGCCCCTTCATGTCTCAGTCTCACCTTTTTGCACGGTTTCTCTGTCTTTTCCTTTCTGCTGTGCTTTTTGCCTCCCCACAAGCTGTTCATCTCTGTCCTCTGCAAGCAGTTGCAGCTGCCTGCACTGCTGCTACCCCAGCATCATCCCGGGGCTGCTCTGAGCATGGACCTGCTCCAACCTGGTTTTGGAGCAGCTGGATCCGACTGCTTCTGAGCTCACCACCCCAGCACCCACCCAGGGGCTGCGTCCTGACAAGGAGCAGCTCGTGCAGGTGTCCCTCCCTCCCACTGCAGGTCCCTGATCAGTTACATTATTTTCCAGGTTCACATCTTCACCACCTAAATTCGAAGGAGGAGAGAGGCCTCCAGGTGCCACGGGCGAGAAGCTGCCCCCAGAAGGGGGTGAAGGGCTGTGACATCCTCTACCAGCCCTGAGTGTGGCCAGAGCGAGCTCCTATCTGCCTGCCATGGACGGGGGAAATAATCAGGATGTCTCCTTGTGTCCCTCAGTCACGAAGAGTAGGATTGGGTGAGTTCTTTAACCAGTAGAACTGTTGTAAATGGGTTTTGAGAAAGTAACAGTGAAGGGAATGTTGAGGGCTTTGTAACCAACTTTGTAAGGAGTCAAACTGACTTAATAAAGACCTGTAAAGCCAAGCCTGCATATTAGGTGAAATTACTCCTGCATGCATGGAGTGCTGCTATAAAGTAATACCTGCTTCTCAATACTACACAGGTGTTAAGGAGTTTATTCCCGATTTTCAGGGACAGGACCAGATCTAATATCATTGTCTCTTTTTTATTTGCTGCTTCCCAGCAACAAAACCACAAGCTCGCCTTGCTTTCAGCAGTCTCCCAGGATCTGACAGCCCTTGGGTCTCTTGGGGAATGTGGGTGCATTGAATCTCTGGTTAGTTTAAAAAAGAAAAAGAAATCTTAATTTTTAGGGCTCAGATGGGGCACTTTAACTGCACTTTTTTACTGCCATTCTTTACACATGTTCCTTTTTCTAGGGGTGCTGAAGCACACCTGTCTCTTTCTCCAAATTTTTTGTATTTACCAGTTTGTTCTTCATGTGAATCCAACTTGCTCCTCGTGGCCAGTAGGCAGAACTGCTGCCCACTTTAACAAGGAAAAAGCACTCTGAAGTGGCTCATTAATGAGCATTAGATGACTGACTATGAGTGTGGCTTTGAAAACATGAGAGGAAGGGAAAAATTCCCTGAATTCTCCTGGCTGTGTCAGAGTGGCTGCTGTGTCACACCACCATGACAGAGCCAGCGAAGAGGCAGATAATGCAAGGGAAAGTCATCTGCAAATTCACTTCTCGTTTCTCTCGATGTGCACTTGTCTTTCAGGGAAATAAATCCCTTCCCGCGTGGAGAAGTCTCTGGATCGCATCCCGGCATTTAACAGCGTGACCCCCCGTGGGCTGCGTGCTCTTGGGTTGCGAACGAGCACGTTCAGCAGCTTCCCCACGAGCCTCCGCCGTTCCCCCGCCCCATGGCCGTGTGTTTCGGGGTCCCGGTGCCCGGGCTCGCCCCCGGCCGGGACGAGGCTCCAAAGTCCCGCCGGAGCTTTGCCCGGAGCCGGGATGATCCCGGCAACATTCCAGGGGCACGGCGCTCCCGCGTGGCCGCGCTCCGCCACTGCAGCGCCGGCCGCCGGCACCCCCATCGCCGGCACCCCCATCGCCGGCACCCCCATCGCCGGCATTCCCACTGCCCTGTGCTCCCCCGCCCCTTGGATTCGGGACGCCCACCTGGCTCCCCCCTCCTGTCAGGGAGTTGTAGAGAGTGTGGAGGTCTCCCCTGAGCCTCCTCCTCTCCAGGCTGAACAGCCCCAGCTCCCTCAGCCTCTCCTCACAGGACCTGTGCTCCAGTCCCTTCCCCAGCCTCGCTGCCCTTCTCTGGCCCTGCTCCAGCCCCTCCATGTCCTTCCTGAGCTGAGGGCCCAGAGCTGGACACAGCACTCCAGGGGTGGCCTCACCAGTGCTGAGCCCAGGGGCAGAATCCCTTTCCCTGGTCCTGCTGCCACACTGTTCCCGATCCAGGCCAGGATCCATTGGCCCTCTTGCCCCCCTGGGCACACTCTGGCTCACGCTCAGCTTCCCGCTCTCCCCTCCGCCCCTTCCCTCGAGCCCCTCGGCGGCGGGGGCGGGTCCCGGGGGCGGGGCGGGGTTCCGGGGGGCGGGTCCGCTATGGTCACGTGGGCGTGCCGGCGGGGTCACGTGGGCGCGGTCCCGGGCGCGGTCACGTGGCCGCCCGGCGGCGGCGGCGGGGCCATGAACACCGAGCGGGACCTGGCGCCGCTGGCGCCCGGCGTGGTGCGGGCGCTCACCGACAAGCTCTACGAGAAGAGGAAGGTGGCGGCCCTGGAGATCGAGAAGTGAGGGGCGGGAGATGCCGGGAAACCGGGGAGGGCGGCGGGAATCGAGGGCGGTGCCGCTGCGGGGATGGGGCTGGAGAGGCCGACCCGGCTCCCCGGGGAAGGGCGGGGAGGGGTGTTGGCCTGCCGGGGCTCCCCGCGGCCCCGGCGTGGCGGGAGCCGGTCAGGGATGCTTGGGGTGGGTCCAGCTCCCACCGGGCAGGGGGCGGTGGGAGGGACCGGCCCGGCTGTGGCCGGTGGGAGCCGGGGGCTGCGGCGATGGGGATCACCCCGGGGGACCTGGGAGGCCCGGAGTAGGGGGAGGGGGTGACCCCAGTGGGAGCTGGGGGCTTTGGGGCTGGGGGTCACGGTGGGGGGACCGTGGGGATCCGGCGTGCCGGGGGTGACCCCAGTGGGAGCTGGGGGCTTTGGGGCTGGGGGTCACGGTGGGGGGACCGTGAGTCTGTGCTTGGCTTTTACCAACCAAAGTCTGCTTTGGGGTCAGACAGTTCAGCTAATCAGTCTGCAAACATGATTTGGGAAGGGTATGAGGAGGAAGAAGGCAAGGGCCAACCTTTTCTGCAGATCTCACAGGTTTAGATCATCCAAAACCCATCACAGAACAAAACCCAGCAGCATCTCTCCCATGTCCATGGCATTGAGCCAGGAGGGACTTGCTGCCTCTCAACTCAGGAACCTCCTTGTCCTCTGGCTGGTGATGCAGGAGCACCAGCTCCTGCTGCTTTTAGGCTCTCTGATGCTGCACTTCACTTTCCCTGGCTTTTTGCCTCGTTAACTAAATCTTGAACCCTTTAAGGAGGTCTGTAAACTTGTTCACATTCAAGCAAAGCTCCATCCATGAAATGGATGGCAGTAAAGTGATCACTCCAATGGTCTGTCTTACTTGAGCTTAGTGTGTTCCTCTATTTAGAGAAAGACTGGAGATGGAGCCATTTTCCCTAAATGAGCAGTTTGGGAGAAAGGGTCGAGCTGTAACTGTTGGAGAACTTACCTTCGGAGTAGGAAGAGTAGGGAGGGGCTGCCTGGTGCCCCTGGAGAGAAAGGGAGCAGCTGCTAAGGTCAGAGCAGAGCTGGTGTTCATAATCCTGGGAAGGAAAGTTCATGAACATTTTCTGTAATGATTTTCTGGATTATGAAGTGCGTGACTGGCCAGTGGCCCCTGTTTGGGAGAGAGCAGTGTGAGATCCATATAGTGCCAAAGAAACCTTGTATGGAATTAGGCAGTGAAAGCTTTTTCACCTTTAGTGACAGCGAAGGTGAAGGTTAGTGATTTAGGCAGAATTTTTGAGGGGCCCAAGTCTTGTATTGTAGATAGAAGTCCAAGAAAAATGGAGGAAAAACAGCACTGCATTGGCCGGGAATCGAACCCGGGCCTCCCGCGTGGCAGGCGAGAATTCTACCACTGAACCACCAATGCTACAGCTGGCTCCACAGCTGGCTCCACAGCTGGCTCCACAGCTGGCTCCACAGCTGGCTCCACAGCTGGCTCCACAGCTGCCTGTGCCTCCCTGCCTGGCCAGCGGCTCTGCCGCAGGGAAACAGGGACCAAAAGGCTGGACGGACGAGCTGGGACCTGGAAGCAGTTCCGTAGGCTGGAGCTCATTCATTTGAGTAGGGTGATGCGTTAATTATCTCTGGGTAACGAGCTGCAAGTTCCTGGGGCGGAGCAGGTGTTGCGTATGGAAACTGGGTTGGCTTTTTATTAAGGCTCGTGCTGTTTAGGAGCGTATTTAAATATACTGTTAATATAAAATTGAATGTATGAGGTATCACCTGAAGCAGTGTGTGGGCGGCTGGGAAAGGTCCAGAATCTTGGCACTGTGTGTGGGTCTGGTGGGCAGCAATTCCGTGCTGAGCTACCAGCACTCCTGCTCTGTGCTTAGCTCCTCTGGGCTGCTGTCCTGTGCCCTGCTGGGGATAAATGACCTGCCCTGTTGGAGAGAGGGTTTGAAGACCTGGTAACTTCTTCTCTGCAAGCAAACAGCTGCACTGGGGTGGCCCTTGAGAGCCCATCCTGGGCTTAGAGCTCCTGAGTGGTGTAGGAGGCTGCGGGCTGGAGCAGCAGGGCAGTGAGCAGGGAGAGCTCTAGTTTCACTTATGGATCCTGTCAGCATTCCCCATTTCATTACCCCTTTCTCTGGTGTTTGTCGTGGCTGAAAGTCCCCGTGGGGAACCAAACCCCTCAGCATTTGTATCGGGCAGAACCTAAAACCCCCCCCGTGTGCTCTCCTCTCCTCTCCCCAGGCTGGTGCGAGAGTTTGTGGCTCAGAACAACACATCTCAAATCAAACACGTCATCCAGATCCTGTCACAGGAGTTTGCGCTCTCCCAGCACCCCCACAGCCGGAAAGGGGGACTCATTGGCCTGGCAGCCTGCTCCATCGCCCTGGGCAAGGTGGGTGCGGTGGGGTCTGGGGCTTGTGCAGGTTGTGGTGTGAGAACAGCAGTTCCTCCTGGGTCAGTGTGATGGGGAGACTCGGGCTGGCGGCCCTGCAGCTCCCTGGCTCCCTCCCTGCCTCGCAGCGTTCAGCTGGGTCGTGTTTGAGTTTTCCCAGCACACCCAGCTTCATCCTTTGGGCCCTGGAGTGCTTTCTGGCCTGGGCTACATCTTGGCAGCTCCCCCTAGGCATGTTTAAAGTGCGTCTGTCCATCCCGAGTCTCCAGCAGCTGGACTAGACACAGCAGGTTGGGTGCTAATTCGTGTTAACAGAGCTGATAGGAGTTGCAGCCCTTCCCCCTCCAACCCCCAGCTCAGGCAGCCCCGGCAGCACGAGCAGGATCTTTGGGAAGGAGGGCTGAGGTATGGGCAGGATGTTTGCAGTACGTGCCAGGGCAGTGCCATCTCTTCCCTGTGCCATGCTCCTTGGCTGAGCAGTCTCCTTGTGTCCACCAGGACTCTGGGCTGTACCTGAAGGAGCTGATTGAGCCGGTGCTGACGTGTTTCAATGACGCCGACAGTCGCCTGCGGTACTACGCCTGCGAGGCTCTCTACAACATCGTCAAGGTGGCCAGAGGCTCTGTCCTCCCGCACTTCAATGTGCTCTTTGATGGCCTCAGCAAGGTAAGAAGCTTCCTCTTAAACCCCCATGTGCTTTTCTTTCCCACACTTGAGTTCTGAGGCTTCTTCCCTAGTCCTCGACATCTCCAAGTCAAACAAACCGGGTTGTCCAAGGTCGGTGTTCCAAGTAAACTTTGACCCAGACAGGTCTGAAGGACAAAATGAGCAGTTTCCACACGGTTTCACTGATG